GTCACTATTATGCAATATTAAAGGTTACATGTTTATCTCCAAGGGGTTTACATTCACCCAAAGTCCAAAAAGACACATTTTCTCACTGGAGTGTGACCTCTTTTTTTCTCACAGTAGTTCATTCTAGAATTCAGTATCACTAAAATTTTATCTTTGAAATTTAGCAGATCTTTAATATTCAAACAGCTACATTACACATTACATGAAATGTAATATCTGAAAAAGTATAATAGAGGCACTGTTTAAAAGCTCAGTACAACATTTGTTAAAAGACTAATTCCTAAAAAGGAATAAGCCTAACTTGAACACTGCATGCCAAACAATGGAAGAAAGTCATAAAGATTTGTATGCAATTATTGAGTGAACTATCTATTTAATTCTACAGTATATGAATTAATGCTTGTAAAAATGAGATTATTGTGAGATGATCACATGTTGGAGTCAGTACTACACTCTATCAGATGGACTTGTGGAGATATTGGTATTGCTGTTTTTTGTAGATCGTTATTGTCAGTGTTACATGTTATAGATTATTTGTTTTGAGCCTTTTTTACATTTGGGCGTTGAATATGTAATAAAATCTGACTGAATATTCCAAAATGAGCATTTAAAGTGTACAATATGAAGTATAAATAATATAAAAAATATATAATAGTGCTGGGCAAAGATTATTCGCATCCAAAATATAATATTATGCATGTATACTTTTTTGCATTATATATAAATTACAATTATATATGTAGAATTAGATAATTTGTGTATAGATATAATTTGTATCATATAAATATACACTCACTGGCCACTTTATTACACTAGCTACACCTGTCCAAATGCTATTTGATGCAAATTTCTAATCACCCAATCACATGGCAGCAACTCACATTTAGACATGTAGACATGGTCAAGACAATCCGCTGCAGTTTTAACCGAGCATCAGACTGAGGAAGAAAGGTGATTCAAGTGACCTTAAACATGGCACAGTTGTTGGTGCCAGACGGGCTGGTCTGAGTATTTCAGAAACTGCTGATCTACTGGGATTTTCACGCACAACCATTTCTAGAATTTACAGAGAATAGCCCGAAAAAGAGAAAACATCCAGAGAGTGGCAGTTCTGTGGCTGCAAATGCCTTGTTGATGCACGAGGTCAGAGGAGAATGGCCAGACTGGTTCAAGCTGATCGAAAGGCAACAGTAACTCAAATGACCACTTGTTACAACCGAGGTCTGCAGAAGAGCATCTCTGAATACATAACATGTCCAACCTTGAGGCGGATGGGCTACAGCAGCAGGAGACCACACCGGGTGCCACTCCTGTCAGTTAGAAACAGGAAACTGAGGCTACAATTTACACAGGCTCACCGAAATTGGACAATAGATAATTGGAAAAACGTTTCCTGGTCTGATGAGTCTCGATTTCTGCTGTGACATTCGGCTGGTAGGGTCAGAATTTGGCATCAACAACATGAAAGCATTGGTCCATCCTGCCTTGTATCAACGGTTCAGGCTGGTGGTGGTGGTGTAACAGTGTGGGGGATATTTTCTTGACACACTTTGGGCCCATTAGTACCAATTGAGCATCGTGTAAGCGCAACAGCCTACCTGAGTATTGTTGCTGATCATGTCCATGCCTTACTGACCACAGTGTACCCATCTACCGATGGCTACTTACAGCAGGATAACCCACCATGTCATAAAGCGCGAATCATCTCAAGACTGGTTTCTTAAACATAACAATGAGTTCACTGCACTCAAATGGCCCCCACAGTCACCAGCTTTCAATCCAATTGAGCACCTTTGGGATGTGCTGGAACGGGAGATTGGCATCATAAATGTGCAGAAGACAAATCTGCACCAACTGCATGATGCTATCATGTCAATATGGACGAAAATTTCTGAGGAGTATTTCCAGTGCCTTGTTGAATCTATGCCACGAAAGATTAAGGCAGTTCTGAAACCAAAAAGGGGTCCAATCTAGTACTAGTAAGCTGTACCTAATAAAGTGGCCAGAGCGTGTATATGGTATATTTAAATTTGTTATTTTATCTAAGATAAAAGTTTGTATTTACATATACATAATATACACTCATGTACTGTGTGTAGGGATGTTTACATTTATAAATACACACAATATAAAAGAGGAGTATATTTGTAATTTGTAAATTTGTATTAATATAAATATAAACAAGCATTTACAATATAGTCATGCATATACTTTAAATGCACAAAACAATATACACAGTATCCACAAATATATTTTGTAAATATGAACTTTTATTTTGCATGTGATTGTGATTAAGCGTTTGAAAGAACTATTTTAAAAATAAATAAACATTTTCTCAAATACATGCATGCATGTGTGTATTTCTATATGCAGTACATAACAACTATACACAGTACACACCCATATAATGTCAAAACAAACCTTTAATCTTTTTTCCCAGCACTAAAAATACACACATTATTATTTATTTATACCTTTGCGGTGACATCTAGGATGAAGATACAAAGGCAGACGATCTCGATCCCCTCTGTCATTCCACAGGGTGGCTCCCAGGGCTTGGGTTTGACACGAATGTCTGAGGTGTAGGTTAAAGAGGAGGGTCTCTCAATGAAGGCCAAAGCCAGTACAACAGCAATAGTTAAGCCCAGACCCCTGCAAAAAGAACCAGAAACCAGATCAACAATAAATCTGTGTAAATAATACTGACAGATACACAACAACTGGGTTTGCAACTGTTTCACGCAGCAGATGCCCTTTCAGCTGCAACATTGTACTGGGAAACACCCACACACAAACACACACTCTCATACACTATGGCCAATTTAGCTGTGGGGGAAACTGGAGCACCCGGAGGAAACCCATGCCAAGATGGGGAGAATATGCAAACTCCACACAGAAATGCCACCTGGCCCAGCCGTCTTCTGTGAGGTGACATAGTGAGCAAGTGAGCCACCATGCCACCTAGTTCTCTTAAGACTTGTGGTGCGCTCGGGCCATTCATTCAACTGGGTGCGTCTGGAAGCCTCAAGTGCATCACACCACTTGCGCACGTAAGCCATGCACCTCCATTGAACTCTAGAAAAGACGCGATATGCGAACGCCATTTGCTGTCTCCAGCTGTTGATTTTCATGCACAGACATGGTGGATTCATCTGATTCGTTTACAAATGGGTTGCAGATCTATTCCTTGGCAGTTAGTGGGTCCTCATATTGATCTTTTCCCCTAGCAAAGATGTTTCTTACTCATTTTGCTGCTTGTGGGTTAAACTTGGGTGCTCAAGCGACTCGAGATGCAAGCAAGAGAATATGATCATTTTTTCAAAATAAAAGATTTTTCGAAATAAAAGTTTGGTCAGACTCGGATAATAAATAAATCGGAAATAATTTGATTTCTTATGCGGCCTGGTACCAATTGATCTACGGACCGGTACTGGTCCGTGCCCTGGTGGATGAAAACCACTGTTGTAAATAATGTTCAATTTCTTTCACAGACGCATTGTCTAACCTCATGTCAAGAGCCTTGGGTAGGAATCTTGGATACGTTAAGTATTGCTTACATTCTACCCACAGAAACTACACTGCTGTCATATAATTACTAAAGCAGTTGTTCTATTTAAACCACAATCCAGGGGATGAGCTAGAAAATTTACTACAGTAAAAAAAAAAAAACATTTTTATACTGAAACGTGCTATAACTTAAAAAAACAATCGTTTGCTACTTCTAAACTCTCAAGTAAAATGGGTCAAGTGACAGTCCTGGTGGTCTCAACACTGGTCTTGTTTGTTTGCCTTTGTTTTTCAATGAAATGGTTTGTTCTGGGGTCAGATGTATACCGTACAGTGTTTTGTTTTGATTTTTGAGTATGAAAACCGAAGTGAATTAACTTGAATGTGAAAAGTGATGTGAAACTACTGTGTTTTGATTTCCATTTCTATTTCTTTTCTCTCTTTCTTGGTTTGTCTAGCAAAACAATGTCCATAAAAATACTATAAAAAATGCTGGGCACACAGTTTGGCTTTGTTTTTTAAAGTAATGGTTTGATCTGGGGTCAGGGTTTTGCTTTATTAAGTATGAAAACCAATGTGAAATAACTTATGTAATTCAAATAATGTAAGAAGCGATGTGAAGTTACTGTTTTAATTTACAATTTTATTTCTTTTCTCTCTCTCTTTTTCTAGCAAAACATTGTCCCTAAATATACTGTAAAAATGCTGGGTTTCGCACAATCGATTTGTGTTGGGACTACATAAAGGAATTAAGTTAACTTATTAGCTCTGACAAATTTAAGTGGATTGAACATAAAACAATTAAGTTGTCCACAAAAAAATCTCAAGAATTGTGTTGTTTCAGCTCACGTATATTTAATATCTAGTCATATTTAATTAATACTCATTAAAGAAGTAGTTTGAACAAAACAAAAAAAAACATAATTTTTTGTTTGCTTACCACTGACATAAGTTGGAGTAGTACCATCTATACAATCGTAAGGACCCAGAATCCACCCTGTGGTTAATGGATCGATACTGTAGAAAAGAGCACACAAAGAGCAATTAGTTATTTAAAAACCAACATATACAGTTAATATACACATTTTGTATACAACTGTCTTTATTTTGATTGTGTTTTTACCTTAATCGCATCTTCGATGAATACTACTGCCTGCTGGACATAAAGGTCTGCATCAGCATCTGTCATAGAGGAAACACATTAGCAAAAAAAATAGATAAAAAAATAAAAAAATAAAAATAAATAAATAAATAAATAATAATAATAATAATAATAATAAAAAGAATAAAAGAAGACGAAGAAGAAGAAGTGAAAGAAAAGTAAATAAAAAGAAAAAAAGTGTGTTTGAATGTAAAAAAATTATAATAAATATCTAGCTAAATGGTTCTAAATCCCTTAATTCTAAAGTAAAACTACGCTTTGTAATCTAAATCTGATTTGCTCTGCTCTTGCATCAGCGTCTGTCATAGTAGAAACACGTTAGCAAAAAAAAATGTTAAAGTGTGTTTTAATTTAAAAAAAAAATTATATATATAAATTTGCTCTGCGTGGCATCTTTCCTGTATTGAACCCATTCTTGCTTGTTTGCTTGCATTTATTGTATCATTCTATGACCTGTATCAATAGAATAAGCTGAATAAATATGCTGAATGTAAGACAATTATGTGTGTAGGCAGATTTTGCCCAGAGGCACCAAAGTTTTAAGTGTCACAGGAAATTCAGGATAGTCTTCACCAAACCTGAGCTTTCGCAGCAGGAAATGAGCCAGCAAATCCTGACTATCCTTGAGAGATAACACTTAGTACAGCAAAAGAGCAGCTGAAAGTCTAATTTCACTTTGTACGGGATGCTTATAAAACCCACTGACATAACCAGTCAGTTTAACATTTACATTAGCATGCATATTTTTTAAAATATAAAAACAACTTCAGACTTGTAACTATTTTTTAAAAAGTTCTAATTATTTCATTGATATTTTGGCAAAATTATTCCTTGATTTGCTATTATATTCAAGTTTATTTTTTTCTATTTCCCCCATTGATTTGCTTTTAAGCACTGTAGATCAAACTGAATGACTTTATGCAATTATATTTGTGTGTTGGTGTGGAAATCAAAGTTTGCTATGTATGTATAAACTGTCAAATTTGTATAAAAGTGAGTAATTTTTTTTTAGGTGTGGTACAAACAAATAATTACCTTATAAACTAATGGATGTTTCCAAGAAAGTAACAATATAAATAATAAATAAATAATATAATATAATATAATATAATATAATATAATATAATATAATATAATATAATATAATATAATATAAAGGGCAGCACGGTTGCGCAGTGGGTAGCACAATTGCCTCACAGCAAGAAGATCACTGGTTCGAGCCAAGCCTGAATCGGTTGGTGTTTCTGGGGGAGTTTGCATGTCTTCCCGTGTTCACGTGGGTTTCTCCGGGTGCTCCAGTTTCCACCACAGTCCAAAGTCATGCGCTATAGTAAGCTAAATTGTCCAGTGTATATGTGTATGAATTAGAGTGTATGGGTGTTTCCCAGTGATGAGTTGCGGCTGGAAAGGCATCCGCTGCGTAATAACATATGCTGGATAAGTTGGCGGTAAAGGGACAGAGCCGAAATAAAGGGACTGAGCCGAAAAGAAAATGAATGAATGAATGAATAATCTAAAGTGTGGCTAAGTTGTTAGCACTGTCGCCTCATAGCAAGAACGTCACTGGTTCGAGTCCCGGCTGGGCCAGTTGGCATTTCTTGGTGGGTTTGCATGTTCTCCCCTTGTTTGCGTGGGTTTCCCCTACAGTCCAAAGACATGAGCTATAGGTGATTTGAATAAGCAAAATTGGCCGTAGTGCATGTGTGTAAATGCAAGAGTGTATGGGTGTTTTGCAGTGTTGGGTTGGCATTCGCTGCATAAAAAAATATGCAGGACAAGTTGCAGGTTCATTCCGCTGTGGCGGCCCTTGATTAATAAAGGGACTAACGAAAATGAATGAATGAATGAATGAATGAATGAATGAATAAAAAACAATTTTCCCAGTTTGGTTGTAGCTGGAAGGGCATTCGCTTTGTAAAACATATGCCAGAGTAGTTGATGGTTCATTCCACTGTGACAACCCCTGATAAATTAGGTACTAAGCTGAAGGGAAATGTATTAATTAATTATTAATATATAAATAAATAAACAGACGTAGACTTTTAGCATAAGGAAGAAAAAATGAAGACAGTGAAAGAGTTCAAAAATAAAAATAAAATTTGACAGACATTTTTTGACAAACATTGTTGTGCTTTATTAAACCATATCTGTAACTTTTTTATTATTAAACGTCATAAAAACTGTAGCGTTTATCTATTAGTCTTTCCTCATACTTTCCTTACCACTTGTAATTTGATACAAGAAAGCAATAACAAAAATATCTGAAGTCAAAGCAGATGACCTGTGAAGCAGCTAAACTAATCAAAACAGACAATGGTGTGTTTGTCTGACAGCAAAGACAGAAACCTAGCAGAGGTGATTGAACATGACACCAGCCTCAAAAAGACAAACTTTACCTTTCAATAATATAAATATGAGCCAAACAGAACCTCAAAACACGACAGAAAAGGCTATCTAGGACACTTCAGGCTGTAAAAAACATACCTTCTTCCACATTGCACGAATCGTCAGTCACCGAATAGGACAGTCGTCTTGATCTCGGCGTGTGTTCATCCGGATAATGTGGACAACTTTCATTGTGAGTTCCATAATCTCCTGAACCCTGGTTAATGCTGCCAGCCAGCAGCGGTTCTTCTTCCATCTAAACGGCTGCAAGTGTCCTACAAAACTCCCAAGTAAATCCCAAACAGAGCGTTGAAAGTTTTGGTATTGAAGAACAGACCTTAAACAAGTCTTCTCCTACCCATGTTTGTAAGTAAAGTGACAGTCTCGAGGCTCGACAACAAACATAGCGGAGAAAGGCTTGGTACTATTTCCACTGTGGAGTCACTTTGGTCAGTGTCCGGTGCAATAACATTTCGAGGAAGACAGCGGTAACCGAGGTGTTTTTAGGAGACGTTCAACTCCACCCATATCCTCACTCACATAAAACTTTTTTTCTGCTTGCTCATGTCACAGCACGACCAGTAAGGTAAATTTCGATTCAGTGAGTCGATTCGAATGATTCTTTACAATGAATCATTTGCAAATGCATTGATCATTCTCCATCAAAAAGCTTTTAAAATACGCAGAATATTCTAATCATAATGTTTTTGATGGGACCGTGTAGATTTTTAGGCTAATAGTGTTCTTAAAGGCACCTTTCCTTTAGCCTTAGTAAACGTGTGGAAACATGAGCTTATTCAGACTTGTTCCAAGTTTTCCTCAGGGTTTACTCGCGTCAGAGCACCAGCTGAACTGTAGGATTAAGCAATCACGCATTTACCGGAAACTTAAACACTTTTAATGTGAAAGTTAAACGAGGGAGTAATTAATTACTTTATTTTTCTCATTTGTAGTTACGTTGCGTAAAACAAGCTTGTGTTTGTGTGTGTGTCCGAAGTTCAGACCGTTTCACACTTACAAAAAGGAAGTCAAACTCTACTGCAAAAACCACATCTAACCCACAACCGCCTCCTCATGCGCCAAGACAACAGAAAACACACCCCTTGGTAATTATCCTACAAAGCAAAACATAATAAAATTATGTTGTTATAATTATGTTAGGTGTTATCTCCTTTACGGTGAAAAAAATTAACGTTAGAGATTACTTTTTTGCAGTTCAATAGGGTATTTGCATCATAAGCTAGTGTTTCTTCCCATACTGATAAACTTTCGGTGAACGTGACTTTTTTAAATAAATGATTTTATTTCAATTATTATTATTTATATTTTGCAGACAAATTCTATTTTTCAACTAAAGAAGGTTACATTTATATTAAATTACTGTTAAGTATAAAAAACTTGCCTTATATACTATATATTGAAGTGAT